TAAATCCAAAGCAAGGTATAAGTAATACTTGAATATACATACAATAGGTTTAAAAAATGGTGCATTAAAAAGAAAGTACTTTCTTTTGTACTTACACAAATATATTTATAGTGTTTAGTAAAATAATTTATAAATATCTTCTTTCAAATTTAAAAAGAGTGCTGTATACAGCATATACAATATATTGACAATGCTTCTTAACTCACGCAAAATCCGTGAGTTTGGAGCGTTTTAACTTACGGAATTAGATTAAAAAAAATGGAGCACTCGGGGCCCCATTGGGCTGGGGGCTCTGGCATTTTGCTAGTCTTGCCACTCTATTCTTACGCCACTGCAAGTAACTGGCCATAAATTTACCTTATCTAGTTTTGCTCAGGGAGGATAAAAAAATTGTTTTTTTTATAAGAAATCTTTTTAGAACAATTGTCTGTTACAAACGTACAACTCAGAAAGAAAAGTTAAGTTGCATTAAGTGTGCTTATTCCTCCACAGATCATAATCACCGCTAGCTCCAAGTGAATCTCATCAGAGTGAGTTTTAGTTGTCATACAGTAGAAGAGATCCCTAGTTTACTACGGCGTAATGCAGTAAATTAAACTAAGGACCATTTGTGCTGTTTACTGCCCAGCCATTGCTACGGTTTTTACTGTACTTTATAGTGAAAAAAGTAGATGAAGTAGTTCTGCCAAAAGCCTACATATATAAAATCTACTGGATCCACCTTTGAAAAATACTTTAAATGTACATGTCACAGTTAAATGTAAGTACAGAAAACCTATGTTTATGACATAAAATTACTTTCTGTTAGAAGAACTGAACTTGGTCTGGTTTTTCTTTATAAACTTTTAAATAATTTAATAAACAGTCCTGAGCTGCTTCAAATGATACATTTTAATGTTCCTCAAAGGCTAACGAGGCAAAAGAATTTGTTTTACTTAAAAACGCAAAGAACAGACTATGCTAGATTTATGCCACTAAATCGAATGTGTGCGAATGCGAATAAGCTAAAAATAGACTTTTTTAATGATTCTTTGCGGACATTTAAACATAAGCTCAGAATTAAATTGGTCATACACCGTTAATAAAGTTATTAATAATATTATTATTTTAACGAATAAAAACGGATATATAAAATAAATATATAAAATCTACTGGACACACCTTTGAAAAAGGCTTTAAACGTATACATATGTCACTTGTTTTAACGAATATAAACGTTCTTATTCAGGATCACTTAAAATCCTACTTACATTTTTTGTAAAGGATAAGCCATATTACTTTTGATAATCACTGCAAAGCAAGATAATCAGAGCTAGTGACAGTAAAAATGACAGTACCCCAGTAGCACAAAATATTGGTTCTATATGGGGCACGTCTATGCCCAATATTTTATCTGGTGCCAATATAGGATTTATTTAGCCTATGTTAGCCCTATATTGGCATAAAATGAAAATTTAATATATCATTGCCAATATTTATCCAAGGTTGATCCTATATTGGCATATTATTTTACGCCATTAACTATAGTTAACGATGCTTTCGGATTTCTAAAAGTGATGTAACGATACACATTTGTTTCCAGGATATGTCTATACTAGTGGCGCAGGAACGGTTTTAAGTTGGGGGTGGCGCAACCGACTATCCTTATTGTTTAGCACCAAATGGGTGAAAATAATAAAAGCCATTCTTGCATATTACCGTAAGAATAACAAGAGCAATATGCGATTTCTCGTCTTATTAGCAATAAAATTCGTTATTACGTTAATAAAGCTGATCATTTTAGCTCACAATACAAACGATTTTAGCATTTAATCGTAATTAAGAATAACATAGACGGTACATGACTTGTCTTATTGGTAGATTTTTTCAAAGAATTTGGAGGGTACATTTTATATCAATTAACCCCGCTCTCCCCCTTATCATTTGGGGGCATTGTCACCCGCCCCCCTAAATATCATAAACATTTTCTGAAAACAAACGTTTGTCGACACGATCGTGACATATTACTTTTAGAAATCCTACTATGTAGTAAGTACTAGGTGGCTATCTTTTTTTTCTTTCAATTTCTCCCTCAACTTTTCTAGAACAGAATGTTAAACAACTTCGGGCCAATGCAGATTTTCAATATCGGTTATATAATGTCAAACAACTTCGGGCCTATTTTGGGTTTCAATATTGACCATGCTAGAAAAAATCTGACGAAAGATATATTGGCCCAATATTATTACGAATATTGGGCCAATATCTTTGTGCTACTGGGGTAGTTACTGAATATTTTTAATTTTTGATTTTCCATAGCATATATACTTTCCTTAATTAATAGAATTTATAGAACTTAAGGGTTAAATAAAAAAAATTGGTAGGATTTTAATTAAAGATTTTGATAATTTTGCTGAAGGTACGTGTTTGTTAGACTATCCTGTGGTAAATTTAGTTGTTGCTTGGAAAGCAATCGGTATTATTAAAATATCCACTTATTGTGTTTAAAAAAATTAAAAATGCTTAGCTTGGACATCCTGTATTTAGGAGAGATACAAATTGTTATAGTGAAGTTCAGTGGTCCCAAAAATCCCTAATAGATCTTTTTGAAAATGTGACCCCAAAAAGAGATTACAGTTGGCCATGAGTTTAGTCGTCAAAACAAGTCATATTACATATCCGTTTAAAGCCTTTTTCATAGGTCTATTCAACAAAACAAGTTTACGAAAATCGGTTTAATATGTAATATGGTATGGTCTTAGAAATATGTTTTTTCGAAGAGCCCTGTATCTTTAGAAAATTTATTTACATATTCAAAAAATTCTTGAAAAAATTTTTACTAACAAAAATAAACTGAGAATAATGGGTAAATTAATTACAAATTTACAAAATATTTAAAAGGCTCTTTTGTATTACTTAACATCTAAAAAAGCCGTAAAGTAAATCCAATCAATCTAAAAAAAGCATCACAAAGAACTAACTGATTATTTTGTTAATTACATTCCCAATATAAAGACTTTCTGGACTAACCAAAGCCGAACTGTTAAACCCAAATGCACTCATCCTACCACTAATAAAAGTCCAAATAAGTACTAATGAAAGGCTAATGGAGAAAAATGTTCGAACATTTTCTCTAATTAAGTTTTTTTATATAAAAAATACTAAAATAATTATATAAGTTATAAATTGGTAACATAAAAATAAAAAAAATTTCAATTTAAAACTAAATTTATTTTTATTGTTAAATTCATTTGTCACTGTACTGAAAATTGCAAGAACTTTTTATAATTACTTTCTTGAACGCCAATATTTACTTTTCCAATATGGATTTTACGGTACGTAATTGTCTTTCTCATTTTCAAATAAAAAATTGTCTAGACCATTCCTTAATTTTTATTCAGTAAGAAATTTTCCTCCAGTATTGAGAATATTAAGTCGTTAAAATAGGATTTCTTGATGTCTACGTCATTTATTTATATACTATTTAAATATTAAGAGATTATTTTGCAATTATATTTTGGCAAAGCCCCACGGAGCAATCAAAAACAAAATTAATTTAATAGATAAAAAACCAGACCAAACCATATTTTGTTAATTTTGTTTTTCTCGCCATTTTTTTATCTCGTAGAGATAATGCTTCTAGGATCGTCACGTAATATTGCGGTTATTATATTTTGGAAGTATGCCATAAAAGTAACCTTAATGACGTCATATTAAAGTAAGGACGTCCCTGCTGTCATTTCGTTTTGGCAAAACGGTTTTGCGGTTAATAAAACCAAGGATCATTGTAAAATGGCACGTGATAACCAAATCATGGCGGTAAATATCGTGACTTTAAAATTTTTTATTGAATTAAAATAAAAACCATTATTTTATGACATTTTTATTAATAATAATTAATAATAAATCGACGATCACAAATATCAAAAATAACAAAGCTCTTTAAATATTTAATTTTTTTAAAGAACTTTACAATGGAATGCCCTTATGTTTTAGTAGGTACATCTTTCCTATTCTTTTAATGTTTAATAAAACTTCCCTTTCCCTTTCCTTCAGCTGAGTCTTCTTCATTGTTTACTATTTATATAATTTTTTGTTGTTAACACTTACCACTTACTAAAGTGATTATCGCCTAGTCTCTAAAACCAACCAGGTGAAGTTTTTACCTCCTATTTACGTTTCTTCTTAGTTTAATAATCGAAATTTAAAAAATTTTACAAATCTAGCTTTTTATTAATATTTTAATAATAATTGTAAATTTTGTAATTTTTTCAAAAATTATTAAAACTTAATTCACAACAGCGCTATATTAAAGTTAAGAAACTAAACTGTATACGTTATTTAAAATCATTTAACTAATTGATGTTTTTCTTGTACATGCAAATTCGATTTTAAACTATGACATATTAAGGCAATGTTTACAAAATGTTACTTAATTCCATCCAATAAATTTTGAATAATACTCAAATGAAAAAACGACTGAAAGTTGTTTACGACAATAACTAGAAGATTTTTTCTATGCAACCTTATTTTATGTCTAAACTAAATAAACTAATTAATTTTGAAAAACAAGAACCACCAGTTTATAGTGATCCGTTTCACGAATTCTGAGTCATTGTAAATAATTATTTACTCAAAACAAGTAGGTATAATAGATCAGATGGAGGTTGGTATATAGTTTTAAAAACAATAAAATATTTAGATTTAAATGATTCTTAAATAGTGATTTTGATTTCGACTACTACTTTTATGCAAATAATTTTCAAATATTCTGCATATTTTAAAAAGCGTTCTCCTTTTAAGATTTAATTTTTAAATTATATTATCTTTTATTTAACCAATTCATGTACTAATTTTTATTAAAGCAAGTTAATTTAAATACATAATATTTAAACAATTAACATTTATTATTGGTCCCAAAACCATTTCAAATAAGTTTATTATCATTATTATTATTATTGTTAAATAATTATAATATTAATATTATTAGTAGTATTATTTTAATTATGATTTTTGGCGTCTTAGGGTGTGGGACCGAGATCTTTGCCTTCTAAAGCTAAAGCAATGAAAGCTGTAAGATGCTTGCTGAAGGAGAGTGAAACAAGCAACACGAGCCAATATACGTTTGGGTAATCACGGCCTGTAACAAAAACAACAACGGGGCTCTTATCTTTGCACAAACCAGTGCCGGTCTCCATCCACCTAATGACGTTTGGCATCCAGTCTTGCTACGGCTTTTTGCCGCTGCCGCCGCTACCGCCGCGGCCCTTTTTCCCACCCGTACTCGCCACTTACACAACGTTCGCCCGACGGCCATTATAGTTCCGGGTAATTGAACTTTAAAGCTCTTTGTCTTCTGTAACCTTCTTTAAATGAATTGGATATTATTTGCTATCTGGATTAACTTGCTTTCAGCGCCTCCGTTTTCAGCAGCACCATCCGCACATTTCAGCGACCCCCTTTCAATGGATTTCTGTTTGCAAATTTCCTTCATTTTCATAAAGGAAGTTAAAACTAATTCACCATTAATTTAAACTACGATAGAATGATCAAGCTTTCTTGCACCGTGTTAATATTAACGTAAACAGTTTGCTTATTTGCCAATAACGTAAATTTTGGCTTTGACTTCTTTCCTAAGTGCCATATAAAGTGCAATATCTTCGATTTAAGAAGCCATAAATCAGCAAAAACAACGTGGGATTGCCGTTGCTATTGTCTTTGTAAAATATGGGTAATAAAGGAAATGTCGCATCCGACTATGCGATTTTTAAATCCATATTTATTGTGCAAAAGTAATGTTTTAAAATTTATTGCAAGATATTTAAGACTGTGCGTGAATGAATTTTTGGCAATTTATTTAGGAATTTCTAAAATTCGCCAGCGAGTCGACTAAACATACCATTTAAATGATTGTACATTTATCACGTTGAAAAAGAATGATATCAAAATTCTTTTGCGTGACAAAGACTGTTATTTTTTATACATAAAGTGAGGAACAAGTTTTTGTTAAATGAACAAACATATAATTTAAATCAAAGTTGAAGAAAAAAATGTTTTACAAAAATGATAATAATTACTTGCTCTTATTTTCCATCTAAAGAAAATCCTGCGTACGCACATAAAACTATTATTTTTCACAAAGTAAAAGACATTTGGCTCGAGCGCTTGTAAAAGGAGACAACAATAATCATTATTTTGAGAAATAATTTTGCCGTATATGATGATAGTTTTTGATTTTACAGACACACAAGCGATTCTATGTTGCATTAAATATAATTTCGGTATAAATTATTTGGCATCTATTAAAACCAAAGGGAATAAAAAATATTATTTCCACATCGGATAAATAAATAACCCCAACAACTAAGCAATTTTTAATCAATCACCAAAGTTCGTTTTCTGCAACGAACATGTACGAGATATAAAATCTTGACACAGATTACAAACCCCGAAATACATACGGGACTCGTACGAGCAGACGCCATTTGCATTTTACGAGGACGTAAACACTAACGTCCCCGCTACCATTTTTTCATTTTGCCCTATTTAATCGGTGGATCAGGGAAACGATTTTTTTATGCATACCCTTCTTATTAAACGGACTTTATGGTATACTTTGCTTTAAGCTTATTTATTATTGCCTTGATCAGGATAATCTTTGGATATGAATAAGCTAAAAATAGAACGGTTCACCGAACACCGTTTTGAACGAAAAAAATAAACAACTTTGAAACATTTAAAAAAAATACTTACCAACTCAGTATTCAAAAAAAAGTAAAATAAAAATCTTCCATGTAGATCTTTCAATTTTTTTTTTAATACTTTCAGTTTTTTGGGTTCTATATTTAAAATATGAATTATAATTTATTTCTTTAGTAGGTAGTAAAAAATGCATGAAAAAGAAACTTTTTCTTTCTTAGTTTTTTATAATTTTGTCGATAATATATCAATTTTTTATTGAAATTGGTTTGTATTAATATATATAAATAATATTTGACCTCGCATAAAAACACTATTTCTTTTTGTTAAAAGTAGCCGCCAACTATAAGTGAGATTCGTATTAAAACTAATCCTCTTTTGCCTATATATACCGATTATTGAACATGCCTGGGTTTAAAATTTGTTGCTTCGATTTTAATCTTGCCGCTTAATACAAAATATTAGTCTTAATTCTGTGGATAAAACTTTGCTTCGAGTTTTTATCGATGTTTTTTACATGTAGACGTTTTTGTTCGAGTTCAAATGTTCAAAATGTCCCAGTTTTGTTCTTTATTCCACCACCAGAACTTCACCTTATGCAGGGCATTGCACAAAAACTTTTTGATTCCCTAAACAGCAAATATCCATAATTTGGGAGGCATGGGTGAACAGTGCTGGAATCTGCTTTGACCATTATGGCAAATTTAATGGCAATAATATACGAAAACTACTAAAGTCGATTGCTGTATTGAAAACTTTGTCATAAGCTTTGCTTTGTTTGGATGTTTTCTACCTACTGATTTATAATTCCCATTTTAGACAATGAATATATACCCGTATTTGAGGCGTTCAATCAAGTAGTTTCTGGCTGTTTTGGCCAAAACTTAGCAGATGAATATAAAGACTACATAAACCAATTTAAACTACAAACATCAAAATCTGGAATAACATGTACACCAAAGATCCATGCTCTCATTTATCATGTTCCTTAATTTATTGAAGAAACGCAAAGAGCCCTTGCTTTCTTCTCAGAGCAAGCATCGGAGCAAGTTCATCATTCATTCAATATACTTTCCAGGAATTTTAATTTATCCAGAAATAACTTAGAAAAATATAATATGAACTTGCTTCGATGTCTTTGTGCATACAATAGTAAACATCTGTAGGCTTAGATTTATTTTGTTGTTATTTACATTTTTGTTAAAGTTTATCAATTTTTACGTTTATAATTTTGAATAATGCATTCAATAATACTTTATAATACTTTATTTTTTCATGGACTTTACAGTGTAGAAAAACATGTCAACTTAAGAACTAATAAAAGTGTCAATATAATACAAACTGCAAAAATTACAAACACAATCCTAACAAACATTATAAAAATATGTATAATATCACATGTTATAAAATTCTGAATAAGAGTAAAATGACTTGCTTTGTAAGTAGGATATCACAGATTTTTTAAATTGACTGAGACTGCTTTTATTTTTTATGCTACTTGGAAGTTTGTTGTACATTTTTATAGAGGTTATCCTTGGTCCTTTACCTACTTGGGTTAATCTTTATTGAGGTACATATAGATTTTCAGAATTTCTAGTTAGGTATTTATTTACATCCGAAACTTTTTCAAAAGACTCTATATTTTTTCTCACATATAAAACACATTGTAGAATATATATACAAAACACAGTTAAAATTTTGTTTTCAATAAAAAAGGGCGACACGAGACAGTTGGACTTAAATTAAAAATACTTCGAATGATTCTCTTTTGGCATATAAACACCCTTTGAATATAAGAAGAGTTTCCCCAGCATAATATTCCATAGGACAGATGAGAATATACACAACTATAGTAAAAAGTTAGCAAGGTTTTCAAACTTGCAAAATTTCTCAAGTTTCTAATACAGAAGTTTTTTGTTGCCAATCGGCTTACTAGTTCATTTATGTGATATTCCCAAGATAAGCTTGAATCGAGGAATATTCCCAAAAATTTGATTTCGCATTTTTGCTCTAATGAAACCTTGTTAAGCTTTATCAGTGGACTGCAATCGTACTTAACGCCAGTAGGTTTAAATACCATATGTTGCGTTTTTGAGGAATTTAGTATATTATATATATATATATATATATATATATATATATATATATATATATATATATATATTCAGAAGAATAAAGTTTAAGTTTCCTACTATCGTATGAGTCTTTCAAATTAAAAATATTCTACAAATATTAACTTTAAAATATTATCAATTTCAAAAAATTTCGAAAAGAGGAGCAGCTAGGATTTTGGTAAATAACATTTTTAAGTCACCAAAGGGTCCCGAACAAGAAACTGCAATCAGTTTTTGACGGCATTTTTATGTGACTTAAACTTCGTTTAGGCACACCGTGCCAAGACCTACATGGAAGATTTTCATTTTACTTTTTTTTGAATACTTAGTTGGTAAGTATTTTTTTTTTAAATGTTGTTCTATACATTCTGTTAGGGGGTTATATACCTTTGAGAGGCGAAAAATTAAACGATTTTGTTGATTTTTTTTAGGTATACGTAATCCTAATTACAGTCTAAAAGCATTAAATAAGGTATGGTTTGAAGTCTTTTTAAAAAATAATGTGGTGAGAAAGCCTCAAAACAAGAATTGTAAAAAACTAAGGAAATTTCAAAAAAATTGTAAATTCGTTTTCTACTTTCAGCACAACCACTTCAATAAATGACGTAACCTCTGCGACTTCATGCTCTCGTGATCGCTAAAATCTTTTAAAACCTACATATCTTCGATCGCGCTGTAGTTGCATTACAGCAAAATAAATAAATAAATAAACTTTTTATCACCCAACAGAAATCTAATAACAGGACAAGAAAACCCAAGTAGTTTCTATAAGTAATAAAAATTATGATTATTATGATTTTTCTAACAATGAAATTAACTACACAGGAGATTTCCCTGCTTTAAATACCTCATGACACCGATACAAAATAATCTATCGGGCGCTACCGGATTCAATATGTGCATTTGTCCATGCTTTTTACGGATACGGCCAAATAGAAAATTTATAGGGAATTGCCTATACGCAACAATATAATTCTATATAGAATTTCATGCTGACCCATAAATACCGATAGAGCCTTGTTAGAGTGATTTTCGGATAAAAATAACATGACCTAAATACTCCTGTACAGCCCTATAGACTTAAATATGGAAATTACAAATAAAGATGTAGAATTCCTATAAATACCGATATATCGTATACAGACCTATATGATTTATATATGTTAATACCTATAGTACAACCATATTTCACTTTGTTCTATTAGTAATAGACTTGTACACACTTCGCCAGTCACAGATGACTGCATCAATGTGATCCTTTCATACACTGCCATTGCCATTTCCTTTATAAAAATCCATGGTATATTTTTTATATTTGCTACACTGTAGACACTGTAGACACTGTCATAAATTTGCCCTGCCGTAGATCAACCTATATAAAAATAATCCATAGAAAATTACAGTAGTACCATGGTACTACCTATAAAAACTAATTTAAAATTTTTCAAAAATAAATAGTTTTTCGTGGCGTCATTACTTCTACATTTTCCCTATTGAGACCGATAGCAAATAACTCAAGAAAGGATATAATGGGATATTCCTATAGAGCAAATATTTGACAAAATTTTGTTAAAACCTATGAGAGAAAAACTAACTTCTACATGTATGTGGATTTTCCCTATTGAGACCGATAGGAAATAAATAAAGGAAGAATATCCCTATAGAACAACCATAAATCCCATGGGTCCTATACAACCTATAGAAACACCATACAATCCGATACAAAAATCTATCGGTTTGAACAGGATCGCTATGTGACATTTTAATGAGGGTTGCGCAATACAACAATAAAAGGTTATGTGAGTTGATACGGGGACCATGAAATTATATTTGTGGGAAGAATTATGGCGAGTCTATGTTGTTATTCAGTGGCTTAAAAATATAATAATATAATATTTTGAAAGATACAAATCTTCTGTGGTCAAGTGATTTTAGCTTTAATCTTTCAAGAAGCTCACCTTATAACATAGGAATTTCAAGAAACGCCTTTGGACTTTCTCTGTTTGATTGATAGTAGGGATACCAACTGAGTAATGCATACTCAAGTTTTGACTTAATAAAGGTAAAATACAAAGTTTTAAGAAAAATTATATTTTAAAACGCTGAGCAATTACCTATAACAAATCCTAGCATACTCAAGGCAAAGGCTCATATATTATCAATGTTTTAAAAAAGGATGTTTTCCTGTCAAATATAATACCAAGATCTTTCATTTAAAAAAACTGCTCTACTGAAATATTATTTATAGTGTAAGTTTAAATTAAAATTCAATAATATTTTTATATTATTGAATTTTAATTTAAAGTGAAAGTAAAAACTTTGCATTTCTTAATGTTTAACTTATTTACATCGCACCATTTTTTAATTACATTCAGTTCGAGTTGCAGTCATTTTTGTAATTGATAATTTTATATAAATAGCTAGATATTTAATTAATCTAAAGACATAAATATATAAGACAAGTCAATACATAAATAAATATTAAAAAAAAAACACAAATATATTATTAAAATCTAAAAGTAAATTACATTTAGTCAATCTCACAAACTAGAATTGATAAATAATAAAATATGCACAGTATAAAATATTTCGGTGTAAAGTTACCAAATGGAGTGGTATTAATATATATGTACCTACACTAAAATTGGTCAAAAATATTAAGTGTTTATTTTAAATTGTGGCAAAATTCATTCGTGTTAATTTAAATTCATTTAACACAGCGCCGTGTCAATCTAGTGTTAATTTAAAGATAAACTCGACGCGGTGTACATTTGACACTATTATGTGTTGACAGATACACAAATTGTGGTAAAAAAAAGTCACGTAGTCATCACCATTCGCTAACGGCAAGGGCGCGGTCAGTATTCCGAGTGCAGTTGATGGTAGTGTATCTATGCACGCTATTTTAATTTAAGATCATGGTTTTTAAATTAAAATTCAGTGGTCTGGTGAAGTGGTGCAATGTGACAGTGGATGCAACTTATGTTTGTGCTAAAAACAAGTTTTTTTACCTGTTATTTTTAAGTGAAATATGAAATTTAGTAATATTTTAAGTTTTTGAGCTAGTGAAAAATCATATTTAACTTATTACCTAGGTATATAAGCTAAATATTAGTACTTTTCATTCAATTAAAAAAAATTATTAACACTTCTTGGGTTTAAAAATACTTACACCTAAGAAGTGTTAATTTAATTTTTTTTTTTAATTTTATGCCAAAGCCTATTTGTATTCATATCTAATAGTTTTTAAGTAATATAAAATATACTTTATTTTATAAGAAAAAATTGAACCTACACCTCGCCAAAGTTTTTTGTTTTAAATGCGTTCCACCAACTTCAAATACCGACAGACAGCTGTTTCGACCTTTATTGGGTCTCATCAGTGTCGGGCAACTTGGTGTAGTGGAACACAATCAAAACAAATTACTCCCTGAGCTTATGGGTCATTCTTAATAAAAGGAGAATAGAGCTTAATGATTTAAAAAAAAAAATGTTACTTGGCAACTAATATTTTTTTGTACTACTAGTTTGCTTAGTACTGCAGTAAATAAAATCTAAAATTTCCGAGCTCCCAGGTAAGAAAAATCTAAAAAAATCGTAGTTTTTCAAATAACGTATTAACGGAGGAGATAACATTTTCAACGGAAAAGAGAAAACTGTTAACGGAAGCCTATCGGCTACATATGTAAAGGAAATAAATAGATAATATGAACAATACAAATCATAACTCATATAAATATTTAAAAAAGCTTTTATTAAGGAATAAACAAACAAAACAAACTCTTATATACTAACGATTATTTTAATATTAGTAAAAACTAGTATACCCCAGTAGATTATCTTTAAAAATATAGGTATCTTTTAGTTTGTTAAGTTGTGGCCTACTTAAAACTTTTACGGCGCTACTTTGGTCAATAACAGATATATCAGATTTTTCTGGAAACTGAAATACCTGATTGCCTATTTTTTTCATAAACGTTACAGTATATTCATTATTTTCATCTATCGACATTATTTTAGCTATATAATGACGAAAAATTTTTTTGCCGGAAAGCTTTACAATTACAAAAGAGTTAACATTAACAACTTTTTTTGGTTGCTTTTGGTAATACTGGATAAGAGGAATTTCGTCGTCACTGGAACTTTTAGAGGGTGAATACACTTCATGATACCTAACGCGATTTGTACCTAAAATTAAAATATATGTATAAACTTATTTAAATTATAGATTATACCTGTTCCAACCATTGTGCTTAATATTAGGCTCATCATAATCCAAATCGTTGTTTTCATTTTTATGGTTAACATTAGGAATGTTATCAAAGTTATTACTTTCTACAGGAATAGCCACATCTTTATTCTCATCATTGTCAGGGATGTTGCAGTTACTATCTATGAAAGAAAAAAAAAATAAAAAAAGAAACAAATTTAGAATAGTTTTGTTACCATTCCGAAAATCCATGTGTATTTTACCCAAGCCGTAGTGGTGGCATAGCATATCGGCACTACACTCTAAACAGGTCAATTCCCTTACAGACAAAACATTAGGTATATATTAAGGAGATTCTTCTAAATGAATAATGCACTTCCCTGCTTGTATAATTTTTTTTATTTTCAAAACCGACTAGTTTCGACTATTATAGTCATCCTCAGGGTTTCTACAGAAATATAGTTTTAAAAAACAGAATTATGATTAAAATCTAAAAATTATACTTACACGTCATTTAAATAAAATATACAGATTAAAATTAAACATTTGTGTGTTTATAGTTAACAAATATCAAATTCATTTCAGACTAAACAAATAAAATTAAATTATAAATAAATAAAAACACGATTAGAAATATTAGGGTTATGTTGGGATATTTGTTGTTAGTGTAGTGCGGTGTTGTATTTCCTTTAAATGTTTATATGTACTTTCAACGTAAGGTCATTTATAAGTGTTTAAATATAGGTGTGTAAAATAGGTTTACTTGTTCATTTAGGCACTGTACTTCCTTGTTTTTATTTTGTTCATAGATTTCATATGCTTCCAGAAGTGTTAGTTTGTGATTTTTTTCTTGTATGTGCATAATTGTTGTGTTTGTTTTTATGTTAAAGTGGTGGCCTGTTTCTTTTAAATGGTTGCCAAAATTAGAATTGTGATTATTATTATTTATGTGTTCTTTTATCCTAGTTTTAAAATTTCTTCCTGTTTCTCCTATATATACGGCTTTGCAATCGTTACAGGTTAATTTGTATACTCCGTTTTTTTCTAATATGTCTGTTCGTTGTTTTGTATTTTTAAGTGTGTTATATGTTGTATTATTTGTTTTTATGGCTGCTTTTAGAGTATATTTTGTTAAAATTTTATTTAATGAGTCTGTAACAGGTCCTTGATATGTGATTTTTCTATATTGGTAGATTTTTTTATTTTCGTTCATATTTATTAATTTTATAATGTTTTTCCATTCTATCTGTTTCTTTATTTTTTTAATTGTGTTAATTTCAAATTGATTTTCTCTAGCAATTTGTTGGATTATGTTATATTCCTTTTGGAATTCATGTTTAGATAGAGGAATATTAATAAGTCTATGAAGAAAGTTATGAAAAGCAGAGTATTTTTGTTGATTACAATGATATGATTTGTATGGAATGATGGCACTGGTTGTGGTTGGTTTTCTATATATACCAAAGTTATATCCTGTATTATTTCGTGTTATTATAAGATCTAAAAATGTTATTTGTTTCTCCTTTTCTTTTTCTATTGTAAATTTTAGTAGAACTAAAATTTACAATAGAAAAAGAAAAGGAGAAACAAATAACATTTTTAGATCTTATAATAACACGAAATAATACAGGATATAACTTTGGTATATATAGAAAACCAACCACAACCAGTGCCATCATTCCATACAAATCATATCATTGTAATCAACAAAAATACTCTGCTTTTCATAACTTTCTTCATAGACTTATTAATATTCCTCTATCTAAACATGAATTCCAAAAGGAATATAACATAATCCAACAAATTGCTAGAGAAAATCAATTTGAAATTAACACAATTAAAAAAATAAAGAAACAGATAGAATGGAAAAACATTATAAAATTAATAAATATGAACGAAAATAAAAAAATCTACCAATATAGAAAAATCACATATCAAGGACCTGTTACAGACTCATTAAATAAAATTTTAACAAAATATACTCTAAAAGCAGCCATAAAAACAAATAATACAACATATAACACACTTAAAAATACAAAACAACGAACAGACATATTAGAAAAAAACGGAGTATACAAATTAACCTGTAACGATTGCAAAGCCGTATATATAGGAGAAACAGGAAGAAATTTTAAAACTAGGATAAAAGAACACATAAATAATAATAATCACAATTCTAATTTTGGCAACCATTTAAAAGAAACAGGCCACCACTTTAACATAAAAACAAACACAACAATTATGCACATACAAGAAAAAAATCACAAACTAACACTTCTGGAAGCATATGAAATCTATGAACAAAATAAAAACAAGGAAGTACAGTGCCTAAATGAACAAGTAAACCTATTTTACACACCTATATTTAAACACTTATAAATGACCTTACGTTGAAAGTACATATAAACATTTAAAGGAAATACAACACCGCACTACACTAACAACAAATATCCCAACATAACCCTAATATTTCTAATCGTGTTTTTATTTATTTATAATTTAATTTTATTTGTTTAGTCTGAAATGAATTTGATATTTGTTAACTATAAACACACAAATGTTTAATTTTAATCTGTATATTTTATTTAAATGACGTGTAAGTATAATTTTTAGATTTTAATCATAATTCTGTTTTTTAAAACTATATTTCTGTAGAAACCCTGAGGATGACTATAATAGTCGAAACTAGTCGGTTTTGAAAATAAAAAAAATTATACAAGCAGGGAAGTGCATTATTCATTTAGAAGAATCTCCTTAATATATAAACATACCACTGCTAAAATGGATTACATAATAAAACAAAAACATTAGGTGTTGGTCGCCACCAACAAATTTCATGGCATTTCATTGTCCCTTTAAAAGTTGGGAGTTTCTCTGGTAACAATAACTCGATGTTGTTGTAGGCTGTTTTGAAATCATGTTTGCTAAGTCCTAAAACTCTGACAGAAGAATTGCTAAAGGCATCAAGTAACTTTCCAAAATCGGAAATATCTTTTCCTAGTGAAACAAGGCGGTCAGCTTCTCTTTTGATATAGCCTCCAACGCCATCAGGCGCACCTTTACCGTGCCCACTTTCACTGTAGTGCCATCTCACAGTATTTGTTTGTAATTTTTCAGAAAGGTAAGCACCAATCAAAAAAAACATTTTTCGGTTACGATACTGCGTTGTTGGACCGTCACTTAAAAAATGTGTGGTATATAAAACAGGTACACGTTTTCTAATTTCAGATATCACCAAGTCTAAATGGACACATATGGCAACTGGATCATGTCTAAGATCATCTGACATCGTACAAAATGACAATGGAACCGCAGTTGATTCGCTGGAAGGTCTATAATAAATAACTACTGTATGTAAAGATATTTGTTGCTTAGAGCCGCCGAAATGTACTGACTGTACTTCTTCGGCGTATTTACACACAAAATTTTCCGAAAAATCGATATGAAAGAGTACCTCGTCTTCAGACAATGTTTTTTTGATGTGGTCTACAGTTTTGTACTGATGGGATATGTTCCTGGTATGCAACAAAAACTTGGGAATCGAGTTTTGAAACATTTTGCAAAGCTCACTTTTTCTGCAAGATACCTGTTCTTTAATAGTTTTAGAACAAGTTTTTTCTCTTCCCTTTATTACCAGAATTTCCTTTTTATTTATCCACTTTTGGTAACTGGTAAAATCTTCTCCTTCATAATCTAAAAAGCTTATCTTGTTTTCTTTACATTTTCGACATTTTCTTTCCAAACATCTTTCACTATCGCGGTTACAGCATAAAGATTTTACTACTTCTTGCGATGAACTCTCATTGATTATTTTTAAATATTTCAATTTTTGTACGATAAGGCTCATGTTTGCATGTGTGATACACATACAAGTTTGCCTACTATTTAAAGTTGGTTGCAATATCCAAAATGGACGAAATTTGCAAAAAGTGGCATAAGAAATTTGGTACGTAGGATTGTTCTGCTTGAATTTTGTATACAGATTTTTAAGTGTATCATTTAAATACCGTTTTTGTTTTTTAATCCTTCTTCTTGTAATTGTATCTCTTTTGCCTGGACACAGGCGACTATGCTCATCTTTAGACAGGAATTCTTTAATAAGCCTTTTAGTATGCAGTACTCTTTCAAAACACATTTTATTTCTAGTCTGTTTGCCATACAGAATTTTGTTTGAAGCAATCTTGGCAAGGTATTTGGTATAACCTTGTTGCTTTATTATATTTCCAGAAATGTATTGTATGAACTTTCTTTTATCCTTTTTTCCTTTAACCTGTTTAAAGTTATTTTTCAATTGAGACATAATAGCCTCACCAAAACCAAGTCTGTGTTTAATTTTTTTTGTAGCTGTAATCGAGCTTAAAAGTTTCTTTACCTCCTGCTGTTCAGGGCTATCTTTACTACTATTCCCAGCCTTTTTTAATCTATAATACCGTTTCTTGTATTTTCTTGCACGCATTTCAGATTTTTTTAATAGGGTATTTAGATGCTTTATTTTTTCATTTAATTTATTTCGATTTCTTCTTTTAATTTTTTCTCCTGTAACAGATTGTCTAGTTGCTCTTTGCCTAGAAGGAACTAAATTTTCGTGATAAATTTCAGGTATATTTAGTTCAAATCTTTTAACTGATATGTCTGGACTGCTAGGTGGAGTATGTTCATCCAAAAATATTTCCAAACGTTTGCTTTCTTTTTTCTTTTCATACCTCATTTTAAATTTATCTCGCCATACTTTTCTGATATGCCTTTGCTCACGAGAAGTCATGTCTTTAACTGACTTTATTTTACCCGCAGTTTTGCGAGCATTATATCTTTCTCTTTCCTTTCTCTTCGACTCTTCGTATTTTGCTGGATCCGACTTTATCCTTTCTCGTAGTCTACGCATCGCATCTTTGCTTTTATTTCTTTTTTTCACTATTGCGTCTACAGATTTATTTGTCAGCTTTTTCTCATTCCTTTTATTATTTGCCATTTTTTCCACCTGTAAACACACGAGATATCATCAAAACAAAAATAATTCCCCTCCGTTGACGCATTCTCCACTCCGTTAACACAGAGGCTAACGGAGCAGAGATTAACGGAGAAGAGCATTTTTGAATTTAGCGCCATTTACACCAAGATAAAATGGTTGCAGGAAACCATTGAGTCGGCTTTAATTACGAGTCATCTTGTTGATTTACATAAACCATTAAATAATTTTATATCAATTAAATTACTTTATTTAATGCGGCTAACGGAAAGGAGCCTTATGCTTAACAAATTAAATAATACTTACATATATTATGGCTTTTCACTGTTTTTTCTCTCACTTAAACAACAAACAAACCAGTGTTCATCAACAAACACACACACTGCTTGATGAAGGAGTTGCCACAGGTGTCAGCACTTAATATTTGATTTTACGCGCGAATTTCAACTAGGCAACGGAGGAGAGAAAAGTGTCCAGAGACATTAAACTATTCGTATTATTTTGTACTTATAAAGTAAAAATATTAATTAAAAAGGGGCACAAGGTTTAGGGTTAACTAATTTTTACTAAAGCTGGTGAAAATTTTACTCTGTTTAGCTTTCTTTTGGTTTTAAATAATTAATAAAGTAACAGAAAGTAGGAAAGAGACATGCAACGGAGTGGAGATTTTGCGCTTGTAAAATGCATTATTAATGGTAAAATGATTTTTATTGTTCTCTTATGCCATTCGAGGTAGAAGATAAATTTTTCTTTTATATAAAACGCCTATTTTAGGTAAGGAATTTTTTCTTTTACCACAAATAAGTTTCGGAGACCTCAAAAATCTCCTTTTGCTGAGAATGACCCTTATATGCTCGGTTGTTAAGTCAACAGAGGCGAGATGTAAGAACATCAGGTGATCCACACCGTCAAACGACGTGGCCTTTGCCGCAATCGGTACATACTATGCAACCGGGACTGTACACAGCAATTGTATCACAGATACTAATATGGCCTAAAGGAATCTAGAATTAACCCAACCGGGCTAAACATTAAGGTAAACATTCAATTTTCTTAGTTTCTTTAAAAAACTTTCTTGACCCATTACTGGTATTATTCATATGAATAATACCAGTAATGGATCAAGAAAGTTTCTTAAAGAAACTAAGAAAATTGAATGTTTACCTTTATTTTACATTACATGCTGTGTTTAATATTAAAACACCCTATTGAATGGAGTTCTTTTACCAATAGTGCGTGTTATTTTACCCCTAAGAGTGTATTATATTTGGTAATTTAGATTTTTGTAGATTATTAACCAATTAAAAAGGGTAAAATTTACCAAATTGAATGTGGTTAGATATACCATTTCTAGTGTGGACCTATATAGACCACTTTTGATGTTGTTTTTTACCAGAAATTTTATACTATGTATTATAAAAAATCGCCTAAATTATAGGGACATTTACTAATTAAAATCCTTTTAAGTTCTCTATTAAATTAACTATTGGTGTTTATCTTTTTAACTTTTGCTCTCTGGAAGGTTATTATAGATTTTAATACCAGAATAGTGCGGTGACTTTTCATAAAGTGCTGTAAAGTGTCTCGGAACACTAAGAAAGGCACCTCCTCTTGTTGAATTAGTATTACTATGAAATACATATACATACATATATATGTATGTATATGTAGAAACTTATTATTTGCCAAAGACGTAAATATAAAATATAATATATTAGAAATAAATATAAATATATATTTAGGCGCCAAAGTTTGACCTTTGAGGTACTCCAAACGTAGCCCAATAAAAATTAGATTTCTAACCTTTATAGCATACAAAAGAAGCTTTTAAAAACCGTCAGCAACGCCAGCAAAACCAAAATCGTATTTTCTGGGTTGGCGAATTATTCGCCAAATGACTTTTTTAATAGGTAAAATTGCCTTTATTGAAGTGATACATGAGCAGTGGCGGCCCGTGACATTTCATTTTGGTGAGGTAGAGGCAGGGTTTCGCCCTCATTTAAAGGCGAAGAAATTTTTTTAAACCCAACTTAAAAAAACTGACGTCGCATTTCACAACCTATACTTAAAACTAAGTAAAAAACTTAGACTGTGGTGGGGAAGGAATCCTCTACTTTGTCAATGAAATATATTTTATTGTAAAAATGACGTTTATTTTAAATAAACCTCATTTTTGTCTAATTAATATATCATTGTTCAGCAAGAACCACGTGAAGGTGTAGAGGTAAAGTGCAGCATTATTAATATAACCATTAGGTTTAAGCCCTAATCATTAAATTAATAATAGTACACTATCTTGCCGGGAAAAAGGGAAACTGGGAAGCGGAACTGAAGGGAAGTAAGGGGAACTGGAGAGAAAAAAGGGATAAATGAGTTGCGTATAACTAAAAACTAAAACTAAATTATCCTTATAAAAATGGGAACCGTGCGAAACAATCAACAAAATAAATATAACTCTTATAAATAACAATTAAAATAAATATTACTGTTATAAATAACCAAGAAATAAATATAACTCTTATAAATAAAAAAATAAATATATAAATAAATAAACAGACGACTAAATGGAAAGTTCAAAAGAAAGTCAACAATATCGGTACAATTTCCCACCGTAATATCCATAATGACTAAATTCACATAAATCACCAAGTTCAATTAACTAAACCCACACAATAAACCACTTACAAAATAATCATAAAATAGACAAACTCATAGAAAAAGAATAAACAAAATATTGCGTATATTACCACAGATTTGTTCTTTAAACAGTTCAGAATTTTATAACCAAAACAAACCTAAAGAAGGAATCTGTATTTATTTTATTGGTTACTGTGATGGCTACAAGATGGTGATAGTGTTAAAATATGTTTATTTTAGAATAGAAATATAATTTCGATTAAATCTATTTATTATAAGAAAAATAATACCATTTATTATTGAATTTTGAAAATCATGTGAAGTATAATTTATCTAAAATTCCGCAACAGTGTTGCCACAACACCTGCTTATTTCCTTGGATGTAGGCGTGCTTGCCTCGCGTATGTTAATACGAGAGAAGGAGACAACTATGATATCGCATTGTAATAGAACGAGACAACAAGGCTAACGCCAATCGTGCGTCTAAATTAGTTCAGGCATGCTTCTGAGCCAATCATATAGCTATAAATATTAGTTTAAATTGCGGTCGATTCAAATTCAAATAATTTAAATGTTGCTGGGTATTCCACGTATAAAATCAATCAATTTTATTGACTATTTCACAATTCATGTAATCCAAATATTAAAAATTTATAGTTTATTATAGAAAGTAAAATATTTAAATTATACTTAATTTTTCAATTCTCTATGATGGGGCACTGCCTCACCTGCCTCCCCTGACGGGCCGCCACTGTACATGAGGCTACTTTGCATCCGTAAATAATCAATGTTTGGTGTGAAATATGGCTTACTTTTGAGGAAGGCATTATAATGGACTTAATGAGCAGAAAGTTTAAAGAATCAATATTTGCAAAAAATGCCTTTGTTTATAGGGAGCTGGAAACGTATAATTTAAAAACATTACTTTTTGGTGCTACACTAAATCTACCTATTTCAAAACGTTATTTTTTTAAATGGATTAAAGAAAAATTCATACAAAAAACGTACTGCTAATAAAAATTACGCGGTAATGTATGGGTATAAATGGGCTAAAAATAAAAGGTTTGCCTTTATTAATTGTTTTCGTGATTCGGATCCATTCTATTAAGTGACATGATAGGTGTAAAGGTAAACATCACACATCAATTTCGCAATGTTGTCTTTATTGTTGGTTATGGAGGAAATTAAGTCTCATATTATATAGTATATTATCCTTGGGTCACTTTGATATGATATCCTGTTTGGACATAGTGTTTAGTCCACGCTTTAAATTGCCTATCAGAGCAGATATCTAGCAGTTTTCTACAGTCATTGTGAACAATAACTTATTTTAGATGTTAATCTTTTTAGTGTTTTAAATCATTTAATTAAAATATTGTAGTGCAAATAGGAATAAAACATTTGCTCCTAAATAAAGAATTCTCTTCAAAACCAACTAAATTAAACATTTGCTTTATGAACCTTATAAATCTTCGTAAATTCTAAATACCGCTCTTAATTAGTCCAATTAAAAAACTTTGACTTATAATTTTTTTGACTTAAAAACACAAAACTGCTTATTTATACTTATAAGCTTATTTTGACTTTTTCTATTACAGTAAATTTGCTTTGAAAGGGAATAAATAACATTTTAATATTAAATACTGTTTATTATGTTTATGTTAATTTATTTAATATTTAATCAGTAAAACTTAGTTAAACTTCCAAAATGTATTAGGTATATTTAATAGAATAAACTACATAAATACTTTCTCTTCGTCCAATTTACACATCTTTCAAAAATGTTTCTGTATCTGTACAATGGAGTCTTTGCAAATAATTAAAACTTTAAATGAAAATTAAGCCTAATGAAAAATAAATTAAATCCTGGCAAATTAAAGCGTGGCTGATAAATAATGCAAGAAGTTATTGATGGATTTTAATAAATTTTCATCACACTAAATAACATCTGGTGCCTTTAATGAAATAAGATTCGCAACTTTGCCACACGAAAGAATGCTCTCTGTTGTTTATTAATGAATTTCGGAGTAACAGACGATGTTTTTAAAATTAAGGCAATATAACTCAATATCATGTTTCTGCGTTTCTAGTAGGTAATCAATCTATGTCTTAACAGTGCGAGAAATGAGGAAATAAAACATTTAAGTAGTAAGATAGGTTAATTTATTTTAAATAAATTTAAAATTTATTTTAACTAAATTTAAAATTATTTTAAATAAATTTTAAATTTATTTTAAATAAATTTAAAATTTATTTTAAATAAATTTAAAATTTATTTTAAATAAATTTAAAATTTATTTTGAATAAAATCATTTATTAAATTTATTTTGAATAAAATCATAAAAAATAATACATTTTGAGCAGCT